CTTATATAACAAATAAACACAGAAGAACACCCACACATTCAAGTATACGTCCTGTTCCTATTATCATTTCTATTGTTTTGATAAACGAATATCATATACATCATGTATATTTATAACATCATAAACAATAAATAATCGACTCTTCAGATGAAGGACAGCGTCAAGAGGCAATTCTCTCTCTCTCTCTCTCTCTCTCTCTCTCTCTCTCTCTCTCTCTCTCTCTTCTCTCTCTCTCTCTCTCTCTCTCTCTCTCTCTCTCTCTCTCTCTCCTTTTTCTTTGTTATCATAAATAAACAAATAATGACACATCCTCCTAAAGTGCATCTACCACATAAGAAAAAAAAAAAAGTAGAAGCAAATCGGATTTTAGAAAAAAAGGAAGCTTTAACGACACTGGTTCAGCTGTGACGTCATCAAGTTTTCCTGCATAGATCTGAAATTCAAGTTTGATTCTGTAAGAGGTACTTATCAAGTTAATTCGTTGGTTAATGATATATGTATATGAAATTACAAGATACGAATATGCGAGAGTTTTGGCCTAACTACATAATAGATTAAAAAAAAAAAAAAGTAAGGGAGGTGGTCGTAAAAGTTTGATAACAACAACACGAAAAATATATGGTGTAAAAGTGCATCCAGAAACCTACTGAACACTAAATGGCAACATTATCATTACCATTGCTATTAGTATCATAATCATTATCAATGTTATTATTATCATTACTAATGGTAGTAGTAGTATTAGATTTGCTATTATCATCATTATTATTATGATTATTATTATTATTATTATGATTATTATCATTATTATCATTACTATTATTAGTAGTATTATCATCATTACCATTATCATTATGGTTATCATGATCTGATAATTATTGTTACTATCATTATCATAGCCATTATCATTATCATATTATTACTATTGCTACTATCATACTGATTGTCATTATTATTACCATTATTATTGTACTTATTGTTATTATTATTACCGTTATTATTATTACCATTACTACCATTATTTTTATCATTATTATTATTATCATTATTATTATTTTCATAATAATTATCATTATTATTATTATTATTATTATTATTATTATTATTATTATTATTATTTTCATCATTATTATCAATTTGATTATCCTTATTACTTTTGTTAATATCATTATTGTTCTTTTCATTATTATTGCCATTATTATTATTACTATTATTATTGTTGTTATCATTATTGTTGATGTTATGATTTTTATCATTACTATCGTCCTAATTTTTACTGTTATCATTATCATTATCATCATTATACTCATTATCATTATCCTTATCATTCTATTGTTACCATTATGATCATTGCTGATGTTATTGTTATCGTTATTACTATAATTATTACTATTATTATCATTATTATTACCATTATCTTTTTTATTATAATTATCATTATCCTTATTATCATTTTCATTATTATTGCCATTATTATAATTATTATATCAATGTTATCATTATTCTTCGTTATTATTATTTTTCACTATTAATCATAACTATCTTTATTACCATCATCACCATTATTAAATATCTCATTATTATGATAATTATCAATTATTACTTTTATTATTTTCAGTATCACTGGTATGACCATCCTTGTTATTACTATTATCATCATGTTTGTTATCATCATCATCAGTATCAGTATTCATTAATGTGATACTGAATGATTGGCACTGTAGTGTGATTTATTTTTATTTATTTATTTTTTTTTTTTATTTTTTTATTTTTTTTTTTTTTTTTTGGTCTGGTCAGCATTTTCATCATTATCAATAACAAATGAAATTCCCTTGAGAATATAACTACCATTTTTTTTCTTTAATTTTTTTTTATGTTTTGTTGTCTCCAAGGATGTTGAAAAGGGTTATTTCCTGCCTACAAGGATAACTTTACTGAGAAAATACATCTGCTTTTGGCCGCTTATCGAAGACTTTTCCAGCTGATAAAGCGTGAATTTCGAGGGACAAAACAACCCGGAAATATCTTTGTTAGCAGGTGGCAACCGGAGCACGTGGACGGAGTCACGCATACACTAACGCTCTCTCTTTCTCTCTCTCTCTCTCTCTCTCTCTCTCTCTCTCTCTCTCTCTCTCGCTCTGTCTCTGTCTCTCTCTCTCTCTCTTTCTCTCTCGCTCTCTGTCTCTGTCTCTGTCTCTCTGTCTCTGTCTCTCTCTCTCTCTCTCTCTCTCTCTCTCTCTCACACACACACAATATTCACACACACACTCACACATGCTTTCTCTCTCTCTCACACACACACACGCATACTCTCAAACACACACACACACATACTCTCTCTCTCACACACACACATACACACACGCTCACACTCACGCACACAGAAAAAGCGAGAGGGGGGGGGGGCAAGAGAAAGAGAGTCATCATTATTGCTGTTATCATTCTTATTCTTATTATTGTTTTTATTGTTATCATTATTGTCATGGTAATTATTATTACG